GATATCTAATAATTCAAGATGGGAAGAAACAACAACAGTATACGCCATCCGTTTTTCTTTCGCATGATGGAAAAATCCTTCTGTGCTAAAACTCAAATTCCTTGCAGGGAAAAAAGAATGGAGTCTGGGATAGATTCTACACCCTTAAAATAAAGAGCTTAGGGTGTATAGGATGTTCTGATCCACGGAGAGTGATCCAAAAAATGTCCACCTTCAAATTATCCATCACTAACAAGTATTTGAAAATCATTAGCCATTAATCATCTTTAACCAAAGTAATTATTTTATTTTATAATTTTACAATAATAATAGTTGTTTCTTTTGGATATTCGTGCAAAAAGGGCTATATGCATTAACCATCCGTAATTTTGAAGTAACACATACAGGGAAGGCAGCATATAAACAGCACCCATCACCAACTCTTGAGCTACTCAATCAAATACTGGGACTTAACTATCAATTTTATAAGGCACTAATGGCACCAAAGTGTAGAGTGTATTTTGTTTTTTTAGTAATAACTGGACGTGAATTATGGACCTTCAGATTCACAGTCCGGCACGCTAATCACTAGCCGAAATCCAGCCTTACAAGAAAGATACAAGCTAGTTAATCTAAAAATATAGTTACAACTTCATAAAAATAGTCATTTGTTAATTCTTCAAACATCTAAAAACAAAGAAAAAGCAATTTCTAATAACTTTCAGCTTCTCATATAACATTTCTAGGTGGAAAAAATTTATTGACCAATTTCAATCTTTCCACCCTCTCGACCAATCGCCAAGCTTCTCTTCGTTGGCAAAAATATGTTTAAAATAATGACTAAAAACGTTTACACACATACTGGACTGTCTCAAGTAAATGGAATTTATAGTTAATAGATAAACTATAGTTGGATAACTTTATCAGGATAATGTCAATATTACATCATGGTCTCTACACTATATTCAAAACAGTAGGACTATTCCTTAAGACTGTCTTTAAACAAAAGCAGGTTTCTGCTACAAAAACAACAAACATTATAAGGCTGTAGCTCAAGGTTTTTTTATTATCGTGAAAATGCAATTGCTTACGAACGACTTCACCGATTTTTTTTTCGGTTTTGTGCAACAATTATACAGACCCGAGATGGTTTTATTGTCTTAAAATTTTTCTGTGTTCTACAGTAGTTCCTGTACGCTGAATCCGAAAATGATATCCATTTTTCTATATCACGTACAGATTTTTCGCAAAAAAGTCGTATGTACTTTTACATGAGCAAATCATTTTTGTTGAAATCGGGTCACATTTTGTTATGCTTAAAATTTTGACAACCACTGGCTATAGATTTTTCTAGACCAATTGTGACATAAGAGTCTTATCGATCGTTCAAGAACCCATGAGAAACACACATAATAATAAGAAATGATGTAAGTAACAGTTTGTTTTCTTCTTCTCAATTTGTCAAAAATCCTTACAAAGTAGAAAAAAATTAACATTATTTTGAAAATCTGAGTAGCTGAAT